TGAAATGTTTGAACATCGACCAGTTCTTTTTGGTACAGTGATTCTGTGTATTCTTTCCATCTTCTTTTCATTCTTCCTGTGTCAATCAATATTTTCCCTGTAGAATCCTTCAATATTGCAACTCAAGGCTTTAATTTTTTCTTCAATTCTTTCAGCTTGAGAAATGTTGAGTGTGTTTTTCCCTTTTGCTTTTCTAACTCCAGGTCTTTGCACATTATTTTGTCTTCTTGAGCAGCCCTTTGAAATCTTCTGTTCAGCTCTTTTACTTCATTATGAGTGTGGTATTCAGGGTAAAAAATACATTTGGATGAGATCACCAAGGGAGTTAATATAAAAATAAAAGGAGATCCAAAGTTGGAGTCTTAGAAATCTCCTATCTTTAAAGAGAGATGAATAGAAACCATTGGAGTGTTCACATAGGAAAAAGCTGCAACAGGGTTTGGGAAATTTAGTATATTTTCACTCTTTGTGATAGAGAAGGGCATTTAGAAGGTGACTTCATGGAGTATTAACCACATATAAAAACCAAACACATTGCCATCGAGTGGATTCCGACTCATAGTAACCCTGTAAGACAGAGTAGAACTGCCCCATAGAGTTTCCAAGGAGTGGCTGGTGGATTCGAACTGCCGACCTTTTGATTAGCAGCTGAGCTCTTAACCTCTGCACCACCAGGGCTCCATTAACCACATATAACTCACTTAAAAATAAAATGAAAAGAATAAAAACAAATATTTCAGTTTTCAAAAAATGTGTATGTGTTTGTGTGAAATGCTCCAATTATAGAACAGAGACTGTCAGATTGGATTTGTAAAAAAAAAACAAAAAAAACCCCACAACTATATGTTCTTTACAAGAATACACCTAAAACAAGCTAATACAAGTTTGCTGCACTGGTCAAAGCAGAAGTTTCAATATTAATATTAGAAAAAGTGGAATGCAACATCATTATGTATAATAAAACCTATGAGTAATATATTAACTTTATGCAGTGAAAAATATACCATCTAGCAGCTCCGTGGGAGAAAAGATCTGGCAATCTGTTTCCATAAAGATTACAGCCTAGGAACACTATGGGGGCAGTTCTACTGTTACATAAGGATTGCTATGAGTCAGAATCGACTTGACTGCACACAACAACAAAAACCAGTGCAAAAAGTAAAAACTCCTATGTTAGTAAGTGATGTTGAAGAAAATATACTTGGGTATTTTATGCACATTTTTCAGAATAAAAAAAAATCAAAGAAAATCACCAGAGACTACGTAAATAATGTAACTGACAAGCTTAATATACTACAATAGAATTTTCTGTATTACAGAGAATATACATCATTTCACAGCTTATGGTTAAAAAACACAAAACCTAACTTGTAATTGGCCATAAAGAATATATTAAACTTTTAACTCTTTAGTGAGGTTTTCATAGGTCACAAACATTATAATTCCATATGTTAGATAGTATTTTGGAAAAAGTTTTCAAAAATTTAGCAAAAAACAGTATTAGGTAACTAATGAATACAAAACTAAGTTAACTTAAAATGAGAATTATCCAGAAGTTAAAAACACCTGAGATACAGCTAAAGCAATATTCAGAGGAAATCTTGTATTCTTAAATGCTTTCAATTTAAAAGAGATTGAAAGTCCATGGACTAATTATCTGTATTCCACCCAGGAGGGATCAGTCCCTGGAGAAGGACATCATGCTTGGTAAAGTAGAGGGTCAGTGAAAAAGAGGAAGACCCTCCACAAGATGGATTGACACAGTGGCTGCAACAATGCACTCAAGCATATCAACGTTTGTGAGGATGGTGCAGGATGGAGCAATATTTTGTTCTGTTGTATATAGGGTCGCTATGAGTCAGAACCAACTCAACAGCATCTAACAACAACTAACAACATCCAAAGAAAATAAACATAATACATCAAAAATATAAGAAAATAATGAAATGAATTTGTGAACTAGAAAAGAGCAAAAAAGAAAAAGAAAAATAGTTGAAAGCATAAAGAAAACCAAGTGCAGGTATTTTGAAACACTTAAAATGAATGTGTCTCCTTCAAATCAATTTAGAGGAATAAAATGGTTTAAAAATCAATAAAGTTATGAGTAGAGATATAGAGACTAAAAATTGAAAGTCAATTACACGTTATCCTATAGTAATAATATGCAAATCTAAAGAATGATTTCTTAGGAACATAAAAAGTACTTTTTCAATTCTGAAATACTTTTTTCCACATTTTGACAACTCTGAAAATGCCAATTTGTAATCAATTATCTATTATAGATTAATATGAAGAAATTTTTAATTTTTAGTATATAAAAAATGGTGCAGCCTACAGTATGAGTCTTTTTAGATACAATGAAATAAGGTAATTTAGCCTGTTTTTAATTATTCCAATTGCATGGCTTTTAAAAAAGATTAAATAATATCCAATTCTCTCAAATAATAAAACATATTAGTGCCGATTGTTTTAATCTTTTGTCCCTTTTTCCTATGAAGAATGCGATTGTAAGTCGAATATTCTCCCTCAAGGGATCTGACTGTGGGTAGGGGGCAGAAAAACGACCTGCTATAACTTCGGGTAGTGGAATTTTACCCCCAGCCTTCCTGGATATAGGCATTATTGCTTTATATTCCTCACGTACTAAGCACTTCTATGCCTCTCTAAGTCAGTTCTGGTGAATTAGACCCCCTTTTTTTTAAAATAAGGAGCCCTGGTGGCACAGTGGTTAAAGCACTCGGCTACCGAAAGGTCAGTGATTCAAACCCACCAGCCTGTCCATGGGAGAAAGTTGTGGCAGTCTCCTCTGTAATGATTTGCCACCTTGGAAACCCTATGGGGCAGCTCTACTCTATCCTATACGGTCGCTGAGTCAGAATCGACTTCATGGCAGTGTGTCTGGTGGGTTTTCCAATACGTGCATTTTAATTTTCAAATTTATTAAGAAGTTATATGTGATAGTAATATACTGTAAAATCTCTAAACCTAATGGCCTTTTTTCATGTGTAATGTTCTTCATATTTTTCCTTTACCAGAATTGCTAATTATGTTTTTGTTTTCTTTAAAAATCAGGTTTTGATTATTAGCTTTTTTTTTTCTACTTAAATAATTTTTCTTTTACGTTTTATCTTTCATTGTCCTTGGGGTTTTTGTTGTTATTTCTTGTTTAGCTTCTTGGGTTATAGGCTTAGTTTCTTTATTCATAATCTCTCTGATAACATATAAATGAATATAGAGCTATAAATTTTCCTGTGTAGATTTGGCAGGTCCTCACAGGTTTTACTATGTGGCGTACTCACTGACATTTCAAAAGAAATTAAATTTTTATTTTTAACCAAAGAATTCTGTATGTGGATACTGAATTAGTATTCAGATTTTTTTGGAAAGGCTTTTTATTTCTATCCTGGTATAAATTTTATGATGCAGCATTTGCCTTCTCACACTTTACAATCTCACGTTTTTTCTTTAGGATTATCCCTTGTTTGTTAAGGAATGAATGTTGATCAAACTTTTCCTATATTCATTTACATTAATGTCTTTACCCATTATGATATCTTTGATGTAGAGTAAGATGTGGCTCATGGTGAAAAGTCTTTCCATAAACAATAAGAATAAAGACTGAGAAGATGATAGTAAGGATGACAGCTAATATTTACCAAGCATTTACTATGTGATAGGCACAACTATAGAATCCAACAAGCCTCTGAAGTAGTTACTCTAATTATGTACACTTTACCATATGTACATTATGAAGATATAGAAGTATAAAAGTCATAAAAAGTTATTGTGTATTTCCACAGTTACTTATATATGCATACTAAAGGATCTGGAAGGATAGTAAGTTAGTTAACACTGGTGAAGGAACTGAGGTGGGGGATGATGTCAAAGGGGTGGTTCAACTTTACCTAACGTATAAATCTTTTTCAAGCAGAAGATAACCACACATTATCTCTGAAAAGAACAATAAATAAGTAATGCAAACACATATTCAAAAGGGGCCATCAAAGTAACTGCTTATAATGGCATATATTTCAATACTTAACAAAATAATGGTTTGATAGACAGGTGAACATTATAAAGCAAATAAAATAGTAGCAAGGTATTTAACAAAGAATATTTAAGGCTGGTTATAGTATAACATAATCTCTATTTCTTTAAAACAACAGATACAGTCTTAAAGAGTTTGCTCTAAAAGTTTGACAATGATTATATACGATTGGTAAGATTACAGATAACTGTATCTTTTTTTTGTTATTGTTCTTCTCTACATTTTTATGAGGGAAAATTGTTTTGCAAAAAGAGTATAAAAGGAAAATAATAACACAATCTTCCAAACAAAAGGTACAGATCTATCAAACTTTAAAGAAGGAACAATAACTTAAATATGATGAGACACAGATACAATCACTGACCTAGGGATTTAAAAGGCAAAGACTGACCTGATATCCAAGTTTATATAAATAAAAATATAACTAATCATCAAACAGGCAATAAAAAACAAGACAAAAAAAGATAAGGTTATTGAATAAATGGTATTAGGATGATAATCTGGGGAGGGGAAAAAGGGTAAATTTAGACCTTCAATAAATAACTTAAAATAATTTTGAGATGGATTAGCATAATACACAAAAATTTAAGAACATTAAAAAAATAATCAAAGTAGCAGTTAACCCCCCAAAAAATTTTTCAATGTTTAAAGGTAAACTACAATAAATTTTTTTTCATTTTTTCTAGTCACAAGAATCAATTTTCTGAAGTTAATGGAAAAATAAAGGTCTTCAAATATTTATTTCCATCAGAGTAGGTTGTTATTGTCTTTTCCTGTAGGAATTCTTTCAGGTTGATTAACCTGTGAATCTTAAGTGAAGCTTTTGTTCTTTAATTACATTTGTAGGGGCTTTCACCAGTGTTAGAAGTCCTTTCTTAACCATGTAATTCCAATTCATAGATTTTCTAATTCAAGAGCTCACCAGAATGACGTTTCATATGTTGCCTAAAATCTGAACTCCTTCCAAAACGTTTACCACATTCCTTACACTCATAAGGTTTCTCACCTGTATGAATCTTCCGATGTTGAGTAAGGTTTGAACCATTGCTAAAGGTCTTCCCACATTCCTTACATTTGTAGGGTTTCTCACCAGTGTGTATTTTCTGGTGCCGATTAAGTGCTGAGCCACTACTAAAAGACTTTCCACATTCCTTACATTCATAGGGTTTTTCACCAGTATGAATTATCTGGTGTTGAATAAGTTTTGAGCCACTACCAAACGCCTTCCCACATTGCTTACATTCATAGGGTTTCTCACCAGTATGAACTCTCTGGTGTTGAGTAAGGTCTGAGCCACTACTAAAGGCCTTCCCACATTGTTTACATTCATAGGGTTTCTCACCAGTGTGCATTCTCTGATGTTGAATAAGTTTTGAACCACTTCTAAAGGCTTTCTCACATTCCTTACACTCATAGGGTTTCTCACCAGTGTGAATTCTTTGATGCTGAGTGAGGTCTGAGCCACTATTAAAAGTCTTCCCACATTCCTTACATACATAAGGTTTCTCACCAGTGTGAATTCTTTGATGTCGTGTAAGAGCTGATCCAAAACTAAAGGCCTTCCTACATTCATTACATACATATGGTTTCTCACCAGTATGAATTCTCTGATGCCGAGTAAGGGCTGAGCCACTACTAAAGGCCATTCCACATACTTTACATTCATAGGGCTTCTCACCAGTATGAATTCTCCGATGTTGAGTAAGGTTTGAACCACTGCCAAAGGCCTTCCCACAATCCTTACATTCATAAGGTTTCTCACCTGTGTGCATTCTGTGATGCCGAGTAAGGGCTGATTCAAAACTAAAGGACTTCCCACACTCCTTACACTCATAAGGCTTTTCCCCGCTGTGAATTATCTGATGTCGAATAAGGCCTGATCCAAAACTAAAGGCTTTCCCACATTCCTTACATTCATAGGGTTTCTCACCAGTATGAATTCTCTGATGGTGAGTAAGGTTTGAGCCACTACCAAAGGCCTTCCCGCACTCCTTACATTCGTAAGGTTTCTCACCAGTATGAATTCTCTGATGGTAAGCAAGGTTTGCACCACTACCAAAGGCCTTGCCACATTCTTTACACTCATACGGTTTTTCACCAGTATGAATTCGCTGATGTCGAATAAGGACAGATACAAAACTAAAATCCTTCCCACATTCTTTACATTCAAAGGGTTTCTCATCAGTATGAATTCTCTGATGCTGGGTAAGGTAAAAGTCCTTACTAAGGGCATTCTCATATTCCTTGCATTCATAGAATTTCTTGCCAATATGAATTCTCTGATGTGCAGGGAGTTGAAAGTCATTTATAAGGGATTTCTCATATTTCTTGCATTCACAGGATTGCTCTTCACTTGTAAATCTTTGATGTACTATTAAAGGTGGATCATGACTGAAAGTGGGCATGTCTTCAGGAGTAAATATCATTTGACTGAAATGTCCTTCCTGAGATCCTTGTTTTCTCACACACTGGCTTTTACATTCCCAATCATCTCGGAAATGTGAGCACTCAATGCTGTGCTTTGTAAATCTTTCCATTATCTCCCATCAGGATGATTCTATTCCATAAATCTCCTTTTTCAGAAATAATTTCTTGGTCACACACTTTGATTCACAGTCTGAAAGAAAATATAAAAACAAACATTCACTTTTTCTGTGTTCTGGGAAAAATGAAACTTTTATACTAGAGGTGGAAGACAACTGAAGTTAATTTCATAAAACGTAAATGGCTTATACAATTCTCAAATATGATTGGGCAATCTGAGAAAGAGGCTAGGAAAGTAAAGACTAAGAAGAAGTCACACTGGAAGGTGAAGAAGGTATTTAGGAAAATAGATTAAGTCAATTGTTCATAAATAGTGTTTTAGATAAAAATTCCCTGCAGAACTGGGGAGCCTGATAAGTATACAGATGTTTTGACCCCATCCTAGTTTTGTTAGAGGATGACTCTAATGTCATATATATTTATAAATGAGTATTGTTTCTATTTCCTAGGGTTGTTGGGAGCATTAACTAGCTACGCCTGGGAGGGAAAATCTGGAATAAATGGAGGGTCAAAGGATAAGTAACAACTATAGTTTGTATATAATCTGAAGGAGATAAAAAAGGCACTCCAGATGTAGCAGTATACTGATGAAAGACTCAACTGTTAAATGAGTTTAGAATGAGCAATGGAGAGGGAAGATTATTCCGTGGCTAGACATGGCTTATTTATGCCATTTGATAAGAGCAATGTTTTACTGGGAATTCTGTTTTCCTTGGGAGAAGAGGGGACTCAGCAAGGGCTACAGCAGGAAGTCACTGAGAAGCCAGTTTTAAAGTCAGAGAAAGGAAGAGAAGAAGGTAGAAGATAATGTGATACTATTGGAAGATTACACGAAGGATGCAAATAGATGAGTATTTTGAACTTCAGCTCTAATGATTTTTGAATGATTTTGAAACCACACATAATCTATTTATTGTACTTACAAAGTGTAACCACAAAGTGGTAGTGATTATTTTGGAATATTTATTTGCTAAACAATAAGAGACTAGGAAAGGAAACTGATTTGAAGAGATCAAGTAAGACCCTGAGCAAATATTGGAATCCCAAAGCTGAAAACATTCCAGCATCAGTCTTCCCATAACACTCATAGAAGCTTGTTTAGACTAGGCCTTGATTATCTCTTGAAACTGTTTTTCCATCTCCACGGTAAATGGCTAATCCAAACCTGGATCATCTCTTAATTAAGACACTAATACCACATTTTATCCAGCTGCCTGCATTTCCAGTTTTGCACCCTTAGCAACTAGAGTGATATTTAGCCTGGAAGTGCCCTGTTCAAAAGGTTTCAATCCTACTGCCCTTAGGATGAGACTCACACTCCTTAACTTGGCCTTGAAATTTCCTCAGTGATCTGGTGCCTGCCTGCCTTTTTAACTTGCTACCTCCTGCCTCCAACAATAAGCTGTAACTATGTTGGCCTTCTCAGTTCTTCAAATGCACTAAGCTATATTGATACCCACTCCTGCCATAATTTCATCTGCCTGAAATGTTCTCCCATCAGGCCCCCCACTTCCCCTGCTCTTGGACCTGTAAGTTTCTGGCTATCTTTCAGATCTCTGTTAAATGGCATATACCATTATAGATACTTCCTGAATGCTCAGTCTGAATTATGCAACTCCTCCCATGCCATTATTTCTCAGAGCATTCTTTTTTCTTCCTTTCTTGGTGCTTTGTTTTTGTAATTTTTCTTTACATATTCGTTCTCTGCAACTGAAAATTTCATATTTGTTTGAATGTGTAATGTCTGCTACATGAGGTGAAGATAATTTCTGCTAATTTCATGGAATGTGAAAAAAATCAAAATATATTATTGAATGGCTAATGAGTTTTAAAATTTATTATCTTTTAAAATAAACTTCTAAAAACAAGATTTCTCTAGAAAGAGGAGATACTTTCTCTCAAATAGGCAGATGGAGCCCATGCAGTTATCCCTGCCCCCTTTAAAATCGCACTAAAAGGAATGAAATGGGATTTTTAAAAAGGAAAAAACCCACAAAATCAAAGAGAATTGAAGGGGAAATAGCAGCCAAAATGCTTTTAAAGTTGAAAACCTAAAGATAAATGATGACTAACAACAAACCAAAGAAAGATGAAACCTAAACCAAAAGTAAGGAAAACCCAGAAGGGGGTGATTCATGCTGCAGAACCCCAGGAGGCATAAGAAACTGAGACACTAGGTACCTCTGAAAGTCTATCAGTTGACATTAACTAACCAACCAACCAACCAGTTGCTGTCGAGATGACTCACCGATTCACGGCAACCCATGTGTATCAGAGTAGAACTGTGCTCCATACATAGGGTTTTCAGCAGTGGACTTTTCAGATGTAGATCAGCAGGCCTTTCTTCTGAAGTGCCTTTTAGCTAGCAGCCAAGGACATTAACTGTTTGCACCACCCAGGGATTCCATCAATTGATACACAACAAGCTAAATCAGTGTCCACTCTAAAATACAAATAGGCAAACATCATCAGATATTTGTGGGAAGTCTGTAACATAAAAAAGATCAAACAAACTGAGCAACTAAAGGAACTCAGAAGAAAGACAGTCTATGTCAGGAAAAAGGGAAAACTACAGAAGTCACAATAAATATCCTCATGGAATATGAGAAGCTATTCACATATTATGCAAGAATGAATACTATAAAAGGAATATTATGAGGCAAAATTGTATTCTTGGAAAATGAAAATATTAAATAGGAGTAAAAACAAATCATTAGATGGGTTAGAAAATAAATGAAGGAACTCTGTTTAAAAGTAGTGCAAAAATATATACAGACAGAAAACAAAAAAGAAAAGAAAATTGGAAGGTCATGAAAGGAAGTCCATATAATGAGAGAAGATCATTTTTAAAAGTTTACTAAGCATCTATCAATTGTCAGGTAGAGTGCTGGAAGGAATGAAGCAATCTGAAAACTGCCATTTGAAATCACCAATGTATTAATGGATTTGGGCAAGGAACATCAATGGATTCTAAAGCCACAAAGTGAACAGCTGTTGGGGAAAAGGATATTCACTTGGTCTCAAAGTATCACTCCACAGATCATTTACTAACAATAAAGGAAAATACATACTTTTACACTGGGAAGATTTGGCATCACCAATAGGTAACACCCTGACATTATGTACCTCCTCTTAATCCTGGTGGCACAGTGGTTAGGAGCTAGACTGTTAACCAAAAGGTCAGCAGTTTGAATTCATCAGTCGCTCCCTGGAAACTCTATAGGGCAGTTCTACTCTGTCCTATAGGGTTGCTATGAGTTGGAACTGACTTCACTGCCATGAGTTTGACATGAGGCAATAAAAGGTATACTACCATATTATATATGTAGTATTCTACTTAAACATTTACCCTGAATCAAAGGCTGCTGTTTCCATGAAAAAGTCATCAGACAAATGGAGGTTGTAGGACATTCTATAAGACAACTGTCTCTTTTAGATTCTCCCCAAAATTCAATGTCATTTAAAAAAAATAAAAAAGATGAGAGTGTTCTATGTTAAAAGAGACTAACGAGACCCAAGGAGTCTCTGGATGGCACAAATGGTTAAGGGTTGGACTACTAGCCGAAAGGTTGGTGGTTTGAACCTAGCCAGAGGTACATCAAAACACAAGCATGGCAGTCTGTATCTGAAAGGTCACAGCCTTGAAAACCCTATGGATCACAGTTCTACTCTGATACACATGGGGTCAACATGAATTGGAATAGACTTGATGGCAAATAACAACAATGGCAACATAGAAATCCAACAACAAAAACAATACACGCATCTTGATTGGACCCTATATCAAGCAAGCAAGCAAACAAAAAACACAAAAAGCATGTAAAAAAGACATTTTGGGAACTATTAGAGATATATGAACATGAAATGTTTGAGATATTAGTGAACTAACGTTCATTTTCTTAGCTTTGATATGTTGTTGTCATCCTTTGGAAAATGTCCCTTTACTTAGGAGGTACACGCTGAAATTATTTAGGATAAAATATCAAAATGTCAGCAATTTACTTTCAAATGATTCTGGAGAAAAAAGTGTGTGCATGTGTGAGTGTGTGTATTTAGAAAGATAAAGCAAATGTAGCGAAATGCTAACAATTAGTAAATTTAGGTGATGAGTATATAAGGTTCACTGGAATATTCTTTTAATTTTACTATAGGTCTTAAGTTTTTCAAGGAAAACAGAAATTACCAGATTGCTTTAAAAAATTATCATTCAAGAAAATTTCCCAGAGCTAAAGAACATCCTCCTGTTTAAAGTATCTACTTGGTTTACCTCGTATAAAGAATAAAAAAAAAAGAATCCACACTAAGATATATTTTCATTAAATTTTAGGATCCTGGGAACAAAGAGATGACCCTAAAAGCTTCCGAGGGGAGAAAACAGGGCATACATAAAGGACCGGGAATACAAATGGTTTTGAAGTTCTGGACAATACAGTAAGGTAGAAGTCATGATGTGATGGTAAGATTGTGTGTCACCTTGGCTGGGCCATGATTCTAAGTGCTTTGGCAGCCGTATAATGTTGTGATCACTTCCCTGTTGAGATTTGATATGTGATCACCCCCCATAATGGGATCTTCTGTGAGTAGCCAATTAGTTGAAAGGGAATTCCCTTGGGCATGTGGCCTGCAACTGAATATAAATAGACATTTTGGCAAGGCT